GCAAGCCCAAGATATTGACCAAAAATTGTCATATTTCACACAGATTGTTTTTAGAGCATAATGAACCATATTTTTGCTTTTACTAATCAAAATTCTAAAAAGGGGGATTTTAGGCTCACGCTAACCTACAACCGAAGCATATATACTGGTTCATTAGGAACAAAAGAATATCTTATGAAGTAAAGCCTTTTCTTGGAATATATGAATTACATTATATATGAAAACAAACGTATGAATACATTTTTGGCTGTATCCGTTGTTTCTGATTGTCGCAAAAAAAACTTGCCTAGTGACGAATTCGCCCCTTGATACGATTTTTCGAATAAATCGGTCCCTGGTCCACTTCGCAGCGAGAAGGATCCTATATGCTATTCTACGCATACACCTACCGAGAAAAAGTAAATTTTTTTTTGGCCTAAAACATGATGGTTGCTGAAAGCTATTTATATACAAAATTTCATGAAAATCAGACCAGACGTTCGCGAGTTTACCTGTTACAAAAAAAAGGGACTTCTCTTTATATAATTAGTATAGATGTTCTGGCAATTTTTTTTTAATTTCACTTTTATTTCAACAATTTTGATTAAAAGAAAAATACAGATAAAAATAAAATATTTTACACAAATAAGAAAAAATATAAGCGATAATCGCATGAGGCTATTGCCTGAAAATTTTAAAATGCGCTTAGTGGCATTGTGCTACTATGATAGCATGGCCGAGTAATCATAGTCAACTTATGTACAGTAGTCGAACAAATTATAGCCGCACCAAATTTTCACAAGTTTTAAAATATTATTTTTGCTGTTATTTAATTTTGGTTAGTTTTTTATAGTTCATTCTTTAAAAACATCCGTATAGTTTCAACAAGTTTCATTAATGCTGTAAGGCTCTGGAACTCAGTTCCTGAATCCGTAAAAGCAGTGATTAATCGGAGTAACTTCAAAAAGGTATTGCATAATTACTTTAAATCTGCACAATGAACGTGGTTGCGATTAAACTGTTATCATTTCTCTGTCTCTGTCACTTCTACTATTAAACCAAATTTTGTATGTTCGTATTTATATTTATATGACTGACCTTTTATTATATCTGGCCTTAAATTTTAAGTCTTAATTGTAATTTTAATTTAAAATACAAATATTAATATTTTTTGTTGCTATTTCATATATTGTTAGTTTTAAGTTTACTTTGTACAAACATTGAATTTTACATCCTGTTGATGTATTATAAAAGACTCAAAAGTCTTATAGATGCAGCCTCATTTCTTAAATAAATATGTTAAATATGTTAAAGGCAGTGTCACACGATTGGGTATTTTCCAAAATTTGGTGCAAATCGTAACCCAAAATATTTTTCTTTATCCCAATCACGAAATTTAATTTGTTGAAATTTTCAATAGAACATCGCTGTATTGTACCAATCTTTTGACTATTGTCGCATTTTTTTACCAACAGCCCAATATAAAAATGTACAAATCTGTACAAATGTACCAATCGAGTGACACTGCCTTAAAAATTTATGCAATTTAAAAAAGAATTCAACAAATTCTCATTAAAATTTCGAGTTTTTTAATTAAATTCCGAGTACGCGGTTTTGTGGCGCATTGAATTCTAATAGAATAAAGTATGAGTTTCAAATGGCTAAAAATTTCGATTGATTTTTTAGAATTTTTAAAAAGTTCGAAATTTGCACGAAAATTTGTTGATTTTTTTTAATATTGCACAAATTTGGAAACTTGGATTTACACGGTTTTTGTTAAAGAATGAACTATATTTTTTATAAAAAAATAACAAAAGTTCTATGACAACAAAAATAATACGTTAAATCGTTAATCGGTGCGAGTGTCTTTGTAACTTAGCCATGGTTACGCTACAGGAGATGAAATATTTACCACCAACAATGCAAGCAAATTTTGACAGCTGCAGAACACCTGCAACACCAGTTTGTTAAGTGTCGAGATCTAAAACAATTCAGCTACAGAATTAAATTCATCAGCTGATTGGATATGCTAAAGATAGTATTTCATTTATTGAGAGTGGAAATGATGGTTTTCTTTATAGCAAAAACCGAGTCCGATATGTTAAACGTGCTGGAATGAGAGTTAAAATCTTGGCATAAACAACGGTATGATTCGTTTAGTTCAAAATTAGTTTTGCATGGCTTCAAAAATAGAGGCCGAAAGTGTCTTGACACTCGAGAGGGAACATTAAAATAAACCTCAGCCAGAAGGGCCGGGCTATTAATCAAGCCTGTCATTAATTTTACGATAAATATTATACCTAGCATTTCTCTACGACTTGCGAGTGTAGGCAAATTTATGAGCTTTAGACGACTGGTGTAAGGGGAGACATTGTAGTCTGAATCCCAGTTAAAATCACGCAATGCAAAAAGTAAGAATTGTTTTTGAATTGATTAAATAATTTCTGAATGAACTTGGTAGCAGGGATTCCAAACAATAGATCCGTATTCTAGTATAGGTCTAACTAAAGTGGTAAGAAGAGCTTTTGTAACATAAGGATTTTGAAATCTTTTGACCATCGCTTTACAAATGCAAAAACGCCTTTGGCTTTATTGACTGTAACATTAAAATGAAGGTTGAAATTGAGTTTGGCATCCATTGTGATACCAAGATCGACAAAATTGAAATTGAATAAACAGCTGATTGAGGTTAAGTGGCATATAATTTGTATTACACCAACTAACCACGTTGCTTAGATCCGATTGTAACAAAGACCTTTCTTCGAAAGAGGACAATGTTTTAAAAAGTTTCGCATCATCAGCATACATTAAAATTTTAGGATATTTCATTATAGAAGAAATATCATTAATGAATATCAGGAACAGAATCGGACCAAGGTGGCTTCCCTGAGGAACTCCTGAAGAAACTTTAATGATGTTGGAATAACAATTTTTAAAAATAACTCTTTGTGTTCTATCAGAGAGTAGGAAAAAATCCATTGAAGAAGACTGGGCTGAAAGCCGATTAAGTCGAGTTTACGGATGAGTAACGAGTGACATTCTTTGTCAAAAGCTTTACTGGAATCGGTGTATATTACGTCGGTATGAGCATTTTCTCTAAAACCGTTTGAGACATAAGTTTTTAAGGAAACAGTTCGGAATACGACCAGGTGACGCTTTTAAGGGTTTTAAATGGTGTAAAACTTCATCGGAAGATATTACTGGAATATAAGTAGAGTTAATTGGACAAAGCTCGTACGGATAGTATCCACTTATGGGGAAGTCTACAGAATAATTGGACCTAAAGAACTGGACAAACATGTTGGCAATGAGTTGGCTGTCGCTAGACAGTGTTGCGATAATGCATAGCGGACGGAAAACCATGTACCTTACGCTTTGAATTTGCGAAACCATAAAATCATTTAGGATTGTTAATTAAATTCTTTTTAATTTTACATAAATATGACTTATAACATTTCTTATTTAATGCAAAGTAGCTATGCCGCAAAACTGAGTACTTTACGTAATCACTGTGTAAGCCCGTTCTTTTATAAGGTTTAAAAGAATGATACTTTTTATTTTTCAGTTTTTTAGGATCTTTAGTGAACCATAATTGTATTACGTTTTGGTGCATACTTTCGAAAAAAAATTGAAAGCAGTATCATTAAAGTGCTCAACGCTACGCTCCACGTTATCTCTATATATTGGCCAAGATAACTTATCATAACGCTTGCACTTCAGCCTTCTTTTTATAAAATTGCAGTGGTTGAGTTTAGTCTCTAGATTGAAAGTTTTCATTTAGCAATTTTTTTCTCCAATAGCAACTTTTAAAACACACGACGAGTCGAGAAATATAACAACTGTTTTCGAAATTTGCATAAAATGAAGTCTGAAGTGTCTTTTACTTCTAAACTATAATTGCTGGAAAAGCCCAACTAAGTTCCAATTCGGCATCAAACTGCGTTTACGCATATTGCAAATTTCCATCAATTAAAGTTTAGAAATAAAATAGACTGATGCTTTGTTTTGCTGCATTTCCGAATAGCCCCATTATTCTGCTGAGTGGCAGTGTTTATACTTAATTGACTTAAAATGCAGTTTTTTCAAACAATCTTTAAGCACTCCTACGTTTTTAAATGTCCTGATTATACAACTTAAAACTATCGCAAGCTCCAATTCTTTGATAACTTACCTCTCAGCATGTTCCAGAAAAATATTGTAAGCGCCATTTTACCATTAGACAATGGGGTATGCAAAAAATAAATTGTCCTATTAAAAAGCTAGCATTCAATAATGTTGTTGTTCATTTAAATCCAATTAAATTTTTACACTGTTTAAGGAAGAATTAAAGAAAAACTCACCTATAAAATTTACCTTTTGTCGCTTACGATAAAATCGCAATCAGGGGTCGATATGTACTATGTCTGTTGTTGTACGTACGTTCCGATCGCTGCTGAACACTTTGTAACAGAAAAATATAAAAAAAAATTATTAACAAAAACGACAACTTTAATACCGGTTAAAACAACTTAGTTATCTGCGCAGAATACGCCTGCTACAAGTTACCGATGATTTTGTAACGTGAAAATTGTATTACCATAAATATTTACCACTTCTATACGCATAAATTCTGGACGTTAGGTAATGCTGTAAATAGGCGGCCGCATAATAGAGAAATAAATAATGAAAAATAATTAAATTTCTGGAGTTGTTTATACTTATAACGCCCTTTTTAATTCGTAGAAATATGGTTTTGGCAACATATTAACTAAACATTGTAAAACTGACGAAAAATTTGTTTCTATCAATAAATCGATTTTATGTAGGCAATTTTCTATCATTTGGACGACTAAATGCGCGAACCATCCTACCTAGACGACTTTTTTTAATTTTGTTAGGTAGGGTTAATATCCCGTCGATTTTTTCTAGGACTATATGTATATTTCATATTTAAGTTAGTAAATTTTTAATGGCGGTGAAGGAAGAAACTATTTCAAAACACACCAAATGATATATGATCTATCTAAAACTCATGCACCCACCGTTTTCAGCCAACACATCTACTGGAGTCGAGAAACTTTCTGTGGATTCAGTAAAGAATGTACCAACTTTTCGGCCAGCAATTATAGTTTTGATCGCCTTCTCTTGCATGCCGTTACAAATCACTACACTAACACCACGATCCAACGCCCATGTAGCAGCCTTCACTTTAGAGTCCATGCCCCCTGTACCAACCTGCAATAAAAAAATTTAGCTTATAGAACGTTATAAAACGTGTCATACTCATATCAAAGAGCATACAAAAAGATATAGTTACAGGTCATGATTCAATTACTAAAGGTTTTGTAAGTAGAATTTTTCCCACCCACAGGGATAGTTTTTGGAAGCAGGAGAAAAGGGAAAGAATTCAATCACACTTCCTAAAATGGTAGCTAAATTCCACAAAAAGGTGTGGATAATAGTGAATGGTGGTATTTTAAAACAAAAATTATCTAATTTAAACAAGCTTATTTACATCGAATATAAGCCCTGATTGTTACTAAAAATAAATATTTCTATGTATATGTATGCCAAACTTTCGACGGCGCTTAACTCGAGAATGAATGGTTCACATTGAGATTTTTTTTGTTGTATTTGTTTTCCAGATGATGGATATGAAGAAGCTATTTGTTTGTGGAAAACTTATGGAATATTTATTAAAAACACGACAAATAAAAACATTTGGAGCTTACGTTTCTTTCGCGGTTATGGCTCGATTGCTTCGAATATGGTAATTCGAGTTCTTTGATGTTGCACTTTTAGTGTGCTGGGGAGATTATACCACCGTCAGAATATTAAACATTGGCTTACACAGTCGCGATTGGCGATTCGTGCCGGATGAACTCCGGAAGAATAAAAGGAACACGCTACTGAACGACTGAGACAGGGTACGTTATCTACATCGTCAAATGAGAAGTGCCGTAAGTGTGCAATTACATCGCGGCATTGCCTAAACCGAGCTGGCCTGTAGAGCTGTCAAACTATCGACGATACTATCGATAGTATCGATAGTCTGGTCACTTGAAATAACTATCGATAGTTTTAGTACTATCGCCACTATCGCTTCATTGATAGCGTATTCTCCTTCCTAGCGCTTTTGATATTTGCACGTATTGGTTCAAAGAGAACAAAAATTGGCAGCATTATTTCAGGAACGAACGAATAAAGATCACCTAGGACGGTGTGCGAGAAAGTATTTTTTTGCAGTGACGTCATTTTTTCGCCGCCATGTGAATAAAACGGTATGAAACCATGTGTGTTAATGAAACAACCGATGAAAAAATTACGTTATTTGCTATTATTATTTTTTTCTCAAATGCAATTACAAATACGCGGATGCCGTGCTGGGTAATCTGTTTAGTTGGTTCATTGCATTATTTCCAAAAGCGCCATTTTTTTATTTTTAGCGTGGAAATAGCAGAGGTTATATTGCCGTTTTAAGAGCGTGTCATACCGGGCAATGCAGTATATGTATTTCAAAAGACTGTCAAATTGAGAAATTGCAGAAAGCAGTTGCATGAGCAGTGGCACCTTGCATGTAAAGACATTTTTTATTTCCGAAAGGCGAATTGCAGAGAAAATTTCTGAAATCGCTTTTTGACTATCTACACAGCGAATGAATTTCTAGCAATATTTCTCGAATCTAAAATGCAACCATGAGCCGATAAAATAAACAAATTAATAAAAGCATGATAACGAAAAATAAATGGATTTAGAAAAACATATGAAATGGGTCGATACTATCGATAGTATCGATAGTCACCCTTAAGACTATCGCAAAACATCGATGGACTTGACTATCGATAGTTTGACAGCTCTACTGGCCTGTGTTACTATCGAGCCCATGGACGCGGCTTGCCAATATTTTATTGCGTCAAAGTCTCATTCGGAGACACCAGGATTGTGTTGTGGAGGACAATACCTAAATACCTTCGTTGACTCATTTACCAGAACGCGCGCTTTACTTTACAGGGACTTGGCAGAGTCAAGAGGTCTCCACGAATATCGACAAATACATTTCGGCATTTAAGGGAATTTCGTCTCTTTAGCCTACATTGAATTTCTGTAGTCTAACGATTCTCATCCATTTTGTCATGTTGCCCCCAGCGGATGAAGAACAAACATTTCTTCAAATTTAAAAAGTAAAAATTTCACTACTAAAAATTGAAAAATGTTCTTAAAACCGGCAAAGAAATTTGGAAAGAAATATCACTGTTTTTGTTTTTAGGAGTAGGGTGGGAGTGTCATTGATAAAATTAGAGCGAGAGAAAGTTTTTCTTACAAAACCTTTCATTATTGAACCATGGTTACAGGTATACTCTGCAAGTAACCGATAATTTGGTTACCGTAAAATTTTATTATCAAAAATCTTTACCACATCCAATAACCGCGATTCGAGGTTCATTAGTAATGTAAACAATGTATTAAGCAATTCAGGGCCCGAATCGTGGCATTTGTGATCGAATGATTACTCGTTTCGAATCGAAACGAATATAAATTAAATTAAAAACTTTTTAATATACAACGCTTTTATAAATGGGCTAAAAATTTTAAATTAATATTTCTCAGTCCCATAGAATTTGTTTTGATAACTTTTGATTTTGAAATTTTAGCAAAAGTCATTATAAACCATTTATGAGATTGAAAACGAAAAACGTGAAGCGCATGCAATACAAAGCATTAGATTTAATTGACAAAAGTCAAACTACATAACATAGACCTAAAATTTCTATAGAGAAAGTACAAATTTGAGATCGATTGGGATCAACTTGTCAAATAACGTTAAATTACAAGCATCTAACCCTAATTTATTTTTCATGCAAATATAGGTTCGAGTATTTTTTATTAAGTGTGAAGTAAAGTGTTTTCTGATATAATATTGCTTTTCGTTTTGTGAATTTGGTGCAAGGTCTAATAAAACACTTGCATGTACAATTTAACAAAAAAAAAACACAAGATGTAAAGTTATACCTTGGGTTTATTAATGCAATATATATATAAATATATATATATATAAATACTTTTTTCTTGCTTACAATGTTGGTAAAATGCAGGATGTAATTAGGTAACTTAACAACTTATTCAGAGTTTTTATTGTAATAATTTAAATTGCAAATTCAAATTTTCCTTTCGTTATGCGAATATTTCTATTATCCTTTCAGTGTCAATTTCAATATCTAAGTGTACGCGTAAAAATGCTAGACCTATCAGTCTTTCTGCATTCATGGTACTACGCAACCATGTTTTTAACCGGCGAAGGGTTGAAAAACTTCTTTCGGAAGTAGCGTTACTAGCTGGAAGTGTGACCAGAATGCGGAGAAGTTTGTTAATCAATGGAAAGGCATATTCGTCGCATTTGCCAAGAACTTCCACTGCTCTCCTTCCAAATTGATACCGCTTTTTCTAAGAAAGCTGATGAAAGCGTTCTAAGAAGCTGATGAGACTCTGAATTTGATCACATTGTTAATATTAACTTTAAACAAATCATTTTATAAAATAAGAGATGCAAAATAAGATCTTAGATCCATAAGAGTCTATTCCTTTTCAAATTACATATGTACACTCATACAGTCATCTAAAAATTAATAGGAACACGATATTTTGACCAGTTTCGGTTTTTTCCATTGTTTGTTTACTGTTTATTATTTTTTTATTTAAAAAAACAGCTCATTGTCTAATAAAAACAATATAAGCCCAAATTTCAAACTTTATTGAAATATTAGAAAAATTCAGCAAACAATTTTTCCAACAAACTTTTTATTAAGATTTTCTAGAAAAATTTTAGGTACGCAGTTTTATGGCGCATTAAATTCTAGCCTAAGAAAGTGCAAGTTTCAAGTATCTAAAAATTCGCGTTGATTTTTGATAACTTTTTTTTTGCGAATAGTGTTATTATTTTATTCCATACAAAAAAAATTTCGAACACACTTTGTATGGAAGAAAATGCTTGGCACCGTCAATAATCTTAATAAAAAGTTTGCTCTAATTTTATTGAATTTCCTCTAATTTTTCTCAGTTTGAAATTTGGGTTTATATAGTTTTTGTTAGATAATAAGCTGTTTTTTTTATAAAAAAAAAATATTGGACAGTAAGCAAACAATGTGAATAAATCCACTGGTCGCCTTTCGCACTCACCTTGCACACACACACTTTTTCCGATACAAGGAAAGACTTTGTTTTAAATTTTTAGATTCAATTCACAAAATGTTTGATTATTTATTTAAACTTTCAGTTTACAAGTATATAGCAATCTATGTATATGTCTGTATATTTACAGCTGTGAAGACACAGTTTATTTCACAAATAGGTTTTGAAGGGCGCGTGCGCGTAGACCGACGTTTATTGCTGGACTGACGTGTCGCTAATTTGGCACGATGATAGTAGGCGGCCGTGCGCGCTCGGGAATCATTTTCGGAGTCGCTTCGACTCCACATAGTTACGGCCAAAGGATACGCGCACGGCCGCTGAAATTACGTTTAAGCGGCGGCTTAAACATCATCCCCGCCCTGCAGGAATGCGTTTCTGAGTGTCTCCTGCAGCTCTTTCAGGGCGCGGATTGTGTTACCCAGAACGCGGTGGGTGGTGCGGCCCTGGTATTGGCCGTTTTTAGGCCTTGGGGAGTGCGCGTGATCGTCCGCTGCGCCGCCTTCTTGCGCGGCGGTTGCGGCGCCTGGTTGCGCGGATTCTTCTGCGCCTTTTTCCAGTCCATTTCTACGACACGTATGTAGTTATCAGGGCCGTGGCGAACGTTCTCGATTCGTCCCAATCGCCACTCGGTGGGGGGAGCGAATCATCTTTGATCACGACGAGGTCGCCTGGCTTCCACTTTTATCTCTTCTGGAGATCTTTGAGGTAATCTTCTTTCCAGCGGCGACTAAATTGGTGGTGAAGTGCTTTGCCTTTCTCCCACCGGTTTAGTAGAGAGAGGTCTTCCGCATTAGGCTCGAGAATGGCCGACAGCGGTGCACCTCGAAGGAAGTGACCCGAGTAAGTGATGTCATATCAGCTGGGTCTTGGGAAAGTGCGGACAGAGGCCACGAGTTGAGGACTGCTTCAATTCGCACCAAAAGCGTCGTGAATTCTTCAAAAGTAAACTTGTGGGTTGCAGCAGTTTTCTTTAGATGGATTTTAAAGCTTTTCACTGCAGATTCCCACAAGCCGCCCATGTGGAGAGCGCTGGGTGGTATATATTGCCA